CAGCAGGAAGAAGAGACTAACAACACTTCTACAGAAAACATGATTCAGATATTATCTGTAGGAAAAGCATTAGCCACTCCATATTGTGTTAAATATTTGTAACAGCTTTCACTAATGAGTCTCTCTCACTGACACTCACTGACAATATTAAATTGTCACAAGTTGTGGCTCCACATTATAAAAAGAGAAGAATCAATAATCTAGAGAAGGAATTCCTGAGATTAGGAAACTCACTCTAACCACGTATGCATGTTTAAGTCAGTGCTCAGTAAGAAATATTTCAGTAAAAATCACAACATCTTCAGAACTATTTGCAATATTAATCAGCTACCAGCCCTCCAAACACAACTGAAGCAGTCATTTACTTGCTATCGCACTAGCTCTGTAAAACATGACAATATATGCCCGTTTATTTATTACTTGTTCTCGAGCCTTCTCCAGTTGTTGAACAAGGTCCTCCCGTTCATGCGCAGCAAAGTGGCGAGCCCCAACTTCATCATCTCCAAGTCTTTGCTTTGCTATTGTCATTCGAAGGAGCTGCAATTAAAAAACACAGAGTCGGTAAGCAAAGGAACACAGGCTGTAGCATCATGTAGCATCTGCATTATAAAGAATAAAGCTGCCATAGATCTCCTCTCTTCCAGGCCAAAAAGCTGGTACTATTTAAGCCAGAGGGAATTTTCTGAGCTGAGGGCTCAATCCTGTTCTCAGTGAAAAATTCCAGCCAAACACGCAGAGCACCAACAGGAGCTGAATTAGACCCTGCAACAAGCTACCAGAGTATACAATGACTAAAGACTAAGCAAACACAGGCATGTGGTCATGTTTTTTAGGAGTGACAGAAACTAATTCCTAAAATGAGAGAATTCTCAGAAAGCCATTTTTATATATAAAACATACAATTCTCTGCAGCAGAGAACTCTTCCTACTTATGAATAAAAAGGCACAAAGTGGCTTGCCCAGCTTCATTTTATTACCACTTAATATCCCAATGTGCAGAATTTGCATTAACTGCTGCTAATACATTAGCTTGTGCATTATTTTTTTCATCTGCTCACAAAAGTTAGGTGATGTTAAAAATTCAGGGCAACAACAAAAAGACTTGGCTAAAATGCTCAAACAGCTGTAACTGCTGAAAACAGTCTGACTTGAATTAATACACAGGTTTATTCAATATCGAAAGCACAAAGCAACTACCTTTCAAAAATCATGGAATACTAAAACAACAGTCAAAAAGGCATTAATAATTTACACTGTTTATACTGAGTACAACTAGGCAAAAGTGTTGACTCCCCACAGCCTCATTGGTAGGAGTTCCACAGAGACTCAAGACACCCATTGCAATAACTAGCCTGATTTTCCCCGTATCTTTTGACTGCACCAAGGAATTAATGTTCATCATTGTTCAGAGTTAGAAAAAAATCAATCTTCTGAAGCAGAAGACTGTACATTAAAATGTATCTTTGGTATTTATGGGTTGCCAGTCACTATAGCTGCAATGTGCCAATTAAAATCCTGCTGATGCAAGACAGACTACCAAAATCATCCTCCCCACTTATTTCAGCTCCTATTCAGTGCAAAACACTGAAGCTAATATAACTTGTTCTGATAAGCAGTTCACTTGTCGAGGGGAAGCTGTGCCCCCAAAAGTAACTGATTTTGGTGAGCTATATATTTCCCTATTCCCACAAGGAAAGTACAAACCACTGCACAGTTAGTCAGGCTGACGGATCCTAGGAGATATAAATTCCTCCTGATTTCTTTATCCAAACAAATAAGTCAAAAAGGCAACTAGAAAATCCCAGAATGGCTTCATAGTTATGGGACTTTTTTTTTTTTTTTTTTTTTTTAAATAATGTTAAAAGGCTAATGAACAAAAGGCATGGTAATGCGATTTAATTCAGTCAGAATAATTTAATTTCTAGAATCTCTCGCTAGTGAGAAAGGCAGTAAGAAACAAATGAAATAATGTTTTGAGGACTCATTTTTGTTTAGAAAAACTGGTAATGGGGAAATCACACTTTACCGATGTCTTCAACGCCTGCAGCCGAACAGAACTCCTGTGTAATGCTCAGTACCCACATGGGATGTGGATCAGAGCTGTGACTCATGCACTATGAGCAACCCTTCTCCAGCCCAGGAGGGGGTGAGGCATAAGGCGTAATTATAACTGCAAGCAATTATTACTTGCAAGGGCAAACAGCCTGCCAAGAAAAGCAGCACTATTTACTACTAATTTTGAGGACCCCCCCCCATGAAGTCTTATAAAAAGAATGCTTCAGAAATTCAAATTCAGCCATTACATGCAGCACTATAAACATATATAAAATACCAATCCGTGAAATGACAGAATGCTTCTTCCAGACAGTTGGCCAATCAGAGAGCTGACAGGGCAGAACAGGCCAAGTCCTTTAATTCTGCATTGCTAATGTCTCATGAGGCAGCACCACCTGCTATAAAATTCTTCCCCAAAAATGCTGTGACCCAAAGAGATAAAGGTTTACTTCATATACTAGTACTTTGCAATAAACTTTATTTTAACACTACCCTTCAGGATTCTGTAAACAGCATTCACAGCAGTGTAGATTTAAATTAAAAGCATCTTACCAGAGACTGCTGTTTGTCAAAAACCAATATACTGTTAACTAATGCAATTCAGTGCTGCAAGCCACAAGCTTGTATTAACTTAATATCACAGATTTTTCTTAATAAGGGTTAGCTAAAATAATTATTCATAAAGTAGCAACTCTGTAACAGCATCACAACACCCCAAACAGGCTTCACTGCAATAGCTGCTGCACAGGCTAGCAGTCCACATACAATGCTTGCACCAAAGCTGAACACTCCTGATTACTGCTAAAAGATGTAGAAGAAAAAGAGAAAACAGCACAACCAGTAAGTTCTTGATGGAAGGCAAAAACAATCATGTTTAGCCACAGTCACTGACAGTCTTCACCACATCGCCTACAAAATATAAAAAAACAGACCAGAATGATGCAAATTTGCTACCTTAAGTCCCAGTTCTGCCAAAACACATGCTCCACGTTTAACATTTCGTACTGTTGCTGCATGACTGATTGTCTGCCTGTGGGGAACAGTCCATCTTCTCTCCCCCCATTTAAGACTAAATAAAATGCCCCTGATACTGGCCCGCGACACTGCCTTATAACAACCGTCATTGCAGCCATTGTTTTCCATGCATCTTCCTCTAACTTAGCACTGCCTTTGACAGCTTACAAAACCATGTCTTTGCATGGGTAGGAGCTCAAGTGAATGCAACTAAGTCATCTAGTCTTCCAGAAGGCTCTAGTTTCTCTTATGCTTTACATTTTCACCCCTTTACATGAGAGAACTGTGTTTCCTAACTATCCTCCTCAAATTTTCAGTAAATGTTCTCCAAGCATTGTTGCTAGAACACTAGGAAGGAAAAAACATTTACAAATTACTATCATAAGCATAGAAGAGTTTTCTTTTATCAGAGCTGATAAGAATTTGTGATCAATCATAAAAATAGTCTCAGGTATCTGTTCCTGGAATGCTGCAGTCTAACTGTTGCTGCGTTTCTGAAACTGCAGCAACAAATCCTTCCTGAGACAGCCCGAAGATGTTTTATTATTTGTGCCAACAGAATTCTACCTGGAATTAAAGGAAAAAATTTGTCCAGTTAAACCAAATGCAAGTAATTTGTTATTGCCTAACTAGTTACATACTTAACATTACTTCAGCAACAAGTAAAATGTCACCAGTTGAAGGTGTTCTTGCTAATCCCAGTGGCAGTATCTGACTAGCAGCAAACATTAAAGCATTTCTTTATCAATAGAGCTAATGTGTTATATTTAAAGTGTTTTTTTTTCTTTTTTAGTCCTACAAAGCTCTTGACACTGAGTGACAAAGCCTGTGTGAGTCACCCCTGCTTAGACACAGGCAGAATTGTTCATCCATAAGCAGCTTCACTTGCTGCAAAAGCAGCTGTTTGTTCTTCTCTTGCCAGAAGTAAGGTTGACGTAGACCAGCTGGGCAGGATGCCCTCCCTCACTTTGGAAAAAGCAGAGAGAAGAATGCAGGGGAAAAACGTAAGAACAAGCAAATTATTATAGTTCTTTGTTTTTGTATGTACCATGCATTATTTGGACTCCAGTGCCTGAAGGAACCCAGCTGCCAGTACAGGAGAACTGATGAGCAGACCAAAATGGCTTCAGGAACAGGCCTAGAATTTTATCACCAAAGCTAGAAGGGAGCAAAATCTGACACAGGAGACTGTTAAATCCCTCAGAGAGATGGCAATGCTTTTTTAGGCACTTCAAAAACAGCAAACTGATTCTAAAATAAGCTCTATTTCTCATTTACTAGGAAAGTGAAGAATGTGTTCCAAAAATGAAAATCCTAGTCTAAATTAATCCCTGTCTGATGCACTTCTTTCCTCCCCCTCTTGATTTAGTGATGCACTATTTTGCACCTTTTGGAGAGAAGCATGGTGGCCAGAACCACTCTTTTTAAAAATTATTTTTCCATCCATTATGAGGATCCTGACTTTAAATTAATGCTGAGAAAACAGATGACCAGCTATTATGAAGCTAACCCACAAAGACAAATCTAAACAAAGCCAGCTCACGCACAAAGAAGTATTACTAAGATCATACTGTTATAAGAAATTAAAATAGGTACATAACATTGGTATTTAAATGCATTGCTGCTGTACTACTTCTGTGTTCTGTTTGTACTAAACAAACCCTTGTTATCTGTTCCGGACTGGCTTGGGAAAGGCTGTATGGCATAATATTGGTACTGGAGAACTGCAAGGCAATGCCTTCCACCCTGTAATATAGTTCAAACAATAATGTGCAAATGAAAGAAACACTGGCAAAGCTGGTCTTTGAAGACCTGATCAAGTTATAATGAATGCTATGTATGCTACAAGTTCAGGTCTCACTTGACCATTTCCCAGTTCCCTGCACACCTTCAGGGAAGTCCTTTGTGATAACAACAATGGAAATTGAATTATCACAATATGTTTAAAATAAAATAGGTTAAATCATATGAAACTAAAAGGAAAGGAAAAACCCACATGAATAATTAAAAGCTGCACCATTTTTATTCAAAATTTTAAATCCTGTAACTTTAAAACTGTAGTCGAGGGAAGTTATCATTCATTATCTGTTTCATTTTTTACTTCGTTAACTGTCCTGACTCTCAAATTCCAACTCTCACTAGTTTGATCTCTGAATATACTTCTGCATACAGCTCCAGCTGTGAATGTTACACACATTTGGCTTGAGTTTAAATATTTCAATTAACAAAGACAACAGGAGTTTGATTAATACCAAATGGCAGATTTTGAGCAATGTTCCATATAACTTGCTAAATTTAGCAATAAAATAAATTGGTTATGTAAGAGTAGCAGGATAACAGCTTAATACAAAGATATATAGATATAGATATATATACTTGTGATCAATGGCTCCATATTTTCAAAGAGAAAAATTACACCTTGCCTGGTTTTAGCATCTTCTAAAATTTTGCATTTTCATTGCAAAAAAATTGAAAATCACCACAGAATGAAGAGGACATGCTTATCCGTACCTATTTGTAGGAAATACTACTACTAATATTATTTTTTTAAAAACAAAATCTGACATGTTAAATTAAATCTAGGTGCAAAATACATAGTTGCCGTGGTTTGAGCCAGGATGAGGCCAATTTTCTTTTTACCGATTTTTTTTTTCTTCAGTGAACTCTCTTCTAAGCAGAACATTTGTTGAAAGTAGTAGCAAGTTTTCCAGCCACTTTTATGTGGCACTCAGTATAAATTCAAGGATCACGGAAGTCAAGCCTTTCTTTCTTTTCCCTTCTCTTCTGCCCTTGGCCAGCATCCAGGGAGGACTCTATCTATCTATCTATCTATCTATCTATCTATCTATCTATCTATCTATCTATCTATCTATCTCCTTTGATCCCTAGGCCCGTGTATTCCTGACCCTCATAACTCCTCTCAGCTCCTGTCTGCTCTGCCACTCTCTCCAGCAGCTCCAGGACATTTCAGAACTGCTCCCAGCTCAGGAGATGCCCTGGGATTTGCTGGGTGTGGGGTGAAGCAACAGGGTTTTGCACATCCCTGCACACGCTTGTATATATTTGTACATATTTTCTTTTATCATTATTGTTTAATTAAAGCTATCTATTTTCATTTTCAATTGGGAAAGTCTCTCTCTCCTCTCCCTAGCTAGGTGGGGATCAAAAGCATTGTTGTTATTGGTTTAACTGCTGATCCCAAGTCAAACCGTGACAAGAGTTAAGGACAATAGATCAAAAGCAGCACACAAAAATCATATCATACACTTTACTTCCTGGTACCAAGTACAAGCTTCTTTTGTTCGACTGTTTTGAGCATTTATCATAATCCAAGTACTGTAGAAGTTCTGTAACCCACTGTTTTATTTGTTTTCTTATTACATACACGGAAAACTCTGGCCTAGCTTTCACATTCCTTGCCATTTAATGATAAAAAAATTATAATACCTTATTGTCCCCTTGAACTTCTCCCAGTCTCTGTTGAAGCTCTCTAATTTCTTCTCCAAGATGTTTATTTCTATCTTGAGCCTCACTCAGTAGTTGAGCAAGATTCGCCTAGAAAAGATGCAGACAAAGGAGTAACCAAAAGTTAGTGCCTATGAAGAGAAGTGTAAGTGGTTACTGAAAAGAAACCCTAGACTTACTCCTTACCTGCCAACAATCTTTACTTTTATTGTTGTGGATACCCAGACTTCATGCTTTATTAGAGAGATAACAACACAAGTCACTGGAGTTTCTTTGCCTTTAATAGCAGAAAATAAACGGAGCATGTGTCAACACACCCCCAAAGCAGCACACAAACCCCTAACACGACAAACTGAAAACATCTACTCTAGTTCTGCTATCTTAGCTGATGTGAAGAGCAAAATCCAGAGTACTTTGACAATATTTATATGAAGTTGCCAAGATTATAGTTTTAAAGTTGTATATAATTACATTATAGGCCCAGCTGAGGAAAAATTATGATGTAACAGTGTTTAGAGCAGATTCCTAGCCAGTAAAGATAATGCCAGAGGCCCTGCCCCTATATGGAGCTGTACCACAGATATCTACTAGCACCAAACTTCAAATGTGACCTGACTTGTGGTGTTAGCTAGTATACAGACTTCTAGAAAAGTAGAAGTGAAAGCTAGAGATTAAAAACAAACACACACCTTCACCCAAGAAATTCAGGTAAAAATTTATAATTCATCTTAGCCAAAAAATCATCAAGGTGAGCAGTCAGGTCTATAAGATTAAATTCTATCAGCTTGATTAATAACCAAAAAATAATGCCACCTCCTCCTTTGCTATCTATGATATCTGAAAATAAGAAATACTACAGATAACTTCATTATATTTTTTCCACTACCACATAAATGCTGACCCATCTCAGGAAAAGTCTACCAATCTTCTGAGAGAGTTGTATTCATAGTGGATAATGTGCAGCCTTTCATGACATTGCTTTGGACAGCTAGGTGTGTCATCCATGGCCACAAATCTGAAGGGTATCAAAAAAAATGGAAAAAGAATTTTCAGACCTTCTAAGCATGACTTGGTAAAGTCCCATGAGTCAGTATTTCTAAACTACCCTTATACGTACTTGACAGGCATGAGGCCAAGGCATCAACTGACCATTCTAGTTCTCTCTTGTTATTTTAGATTTAGCTTCTGTTTCCCTACTTACTGTGGCTCTCTTCCAACTCCACAATTTCTCTGTTTTGATGTCTTTCTCTTTCAGTCCTGCTCTTTTCCCCAATCTCACTACCACCTGACATCCCACAGGATGGTTTTTTTGGGTTTTATCTTTAAAACTCATACATTACCAAACCAACAAGGCATCTGACAGCCATTCCTGCAATATTTTCTGTTGTTTACTAACAAACACTATTTCCACACATCTTGTTTAATATTTAAGAGAACTATTAACATGAATATAGCTATGCATGCATCTGACCACCTGCTGGGTTAGACCATTAAACTATAATAATGTGGAACTTTTGTATACTACTGTATGAAGAAGCTGGCTCCAAACTCCAACCTGTCTAAAACAGCAACAGCTTAAAACTTTTAAACAGGAAAAATAATTTGAGAAACTGATATATCTTCCTTGATGAACAACAAGCCTGATTCACTGCTACAGCTTCTGTACTTCTGATGCTCTGAGTTCATTGGTTCAAAAGAAGGTAAGTTTCCCACAGTTTTGGAAGAGATTAAAGCATTTTTTAAAACTACTGATAAATGTGAAGACTGCAAATAAATATTTTGGGAAAAAAGTGTAATAGCAAAAAACATAAATAAACTATTGTAGGGCCAAAATTAAGCTGCCTCTAATTTTATTTTCAAGACAGCAGCCATTCAAGCAATGCAAAAAGTTCCTCAAGGATGCTCTGGTAGAATGATCTTTTTTTTCCTACATGTTAAATAAATGTGAAATTCTCGTTCATATATTGAATGAATCAAGGAGCTTCAGAATATATTCAGTCGATGTGTTGAGAGGTACCTAATGGTTGCTTCAAGGAAAGAAAATAAAGAACCTATGTTTGCAGGAAACTGCATTTAAACTGAAGTATCTATGGCTACTGCTTAGATGGCTTTTTTTCTTTTAAGAAAGCTGACTGTCAATAAAGGCTACTCAATCACCTGACTGCATTAGTTAAATGGAACATGATTTGCACAAACCCCTCTGAAACACTTTTATTTATAAAGCCCCTTTTCTATGATGAATTTGAACGACTTGTAATACTGTACAATAGCACATGTAATTTCAACACCTGGGAAGAACTCAGTTTCACTAATCAGTGTTTACAGCCACACCACCAGGATTCTAGCAGTCTGCAGTCAAACCCCTGCTTCCAGTAACTGCAGGGAAGGCATTACGCCTATACTAAATCGTCCTGCTCAGATTTATTTCCTTCAAAACCATTTGTCTGGGATTGCAATTCTATGCTGAATTTTGTCAGTCATATAAACGACTTAACATGACAAAATCCTTTATACATGAGGCAGGGATTTTGGAAGACAATTTAAACAAATAATTTTAGACAACAAAATATAACAGCCTCATTTAAGCATGCTAAAAGCATTACAATGAGCTAAGCACAGACTGGCTCCTTACTGCAAGGTTTCTATTATACCTCCCTTAAACTAAAACAACCAAGCAATGTCACAGATGTAGTCTTCTGTGATTATTCAGTTCCCCTGTTTCACACAACATATAATTTGAATTTTTTCCTGGCTGACAGGTTTCACACAACATATAATTTGAATTTTTTCCAGTTTTAAAGGTTTTGGCAAGACCTTATCAAAGCTCTTGGTTAAATGTGGAGAGAAGGAGAAAGCCCTGATTTTCAAAAGTGCTCTATTGGGCATAAAGACAGCCAGCCAAATAGGATACTCTGAGTGACACATGGACTGGTACCACTTCTTTGGCATGTGTAAGAAAACATACCATATGGTTGAAAGATGATAAAACTAACAATGGATGACTGGCTTTGTGAACCTCTAGGTAGGTATTTTTTAAAGAAAGAAGAAGAAATCTATGCAAGGAGAAAAGCAATTCATTTTTCCACCTGGCAACTTCCTTTCAATATTGATAGAACAAACACAGAATTCACTTAGAAATTCAAGTTACTTCAGCAGACAATAAAGCTCACTTCGTTCACCTGTGCAACACAGAAAAACTCTCTGAAAATTAGCCAAATTCAGCTTCTCTAGACTCAATTTCTTCAACAGTTTCTTTTGATTCTAGGTGAAGCCTTAAAGAGGCTCCTGTCACTGCCAGAGACTTTATTTCCTTTGCTCACACTATTTAAAACTGACTCCAGTGCTGATGAAAAGAAAATTCTGAGCCACGGGTAACAGGAAAGACGCAGAGGTCTATACATTTCTGCTGCCTCATCTTGTCTCGCCTCTGCTACAACATGCAGCAATGCAAACTGTTTGTTTCTCCTACTCTCTCTCAGTTGAAATATTTGTAACACTAAATAACATATAGTGCTTCCTTCAAGTCTCTAATTGACTGCCAACTATCAGACTCAAGAAGAGAAAAAGAAAAAGTAACTCCAAACAGTTATCCCTGCACGACACCTGAATTTGGCTCCTTTAACAATTTTGCAAATCTAGCCACATATACATACAGCGGTATTTTTCTTCACACTACTTAAAAAATGATGGATAGTAACACAGCCTTTAATATAGCTCTCAATTCTTACGCACATAAATCTTAGCCGACACTTACATTACTTTTTTAAAAAAGGACTTTCTGCCTTTAGATACTGCTTGAGAAATAAATTTGGCAGAGGGGAAAACTTCCAAAATACCTTTACAGTTTAGAAGTACTTTCAAATACAAACAAGCAATTTACAGTTTACACTCCTCTATGTTTCTTTCAGCCACACCTTCAAACAAAGAAGAACACTGAACTACAGGGCTAACAGAAAAAAAGTCTGATGAAACATTAAATGCACTTGATAGGTGTGACTGATAGCAAATTTAATTGTAGCTTCTCCTCCAAGACGATTGCAATGTCTGAATTGATAGAGAAAAACCTGCTTTGCTTGCCAACTATCACTGTTCACTCCAAAGTAGAAGAGCTGATCACTTTTCCTTAGCACTAGCTTCCTTACGATAAAAAAGCAAAAATTTTTATTGTTAAGTTGAAAAAACATGTAGGGAGAAGACTTCTAGAATTATAGGTCCCAGGCATTCTAAACACTACACACTTAGTATGGGTCATAATTCCCCATAGTAAAACAACAGCAAAAATCAAAGCCTTGCCAAGCAGTCATATGACATAAAACAAGAAAAGAAGAAAATCCTCTTCTCCTCTGAGTATCTGCTACTCTGAGAATCAGACAGAAATCCCACCACAGAAGAACACCAGTTAAAACTTTACAAAGCTCTGCAAAACAAGAAAGACTTGCTCATGCTTACATACCTTCAAGACACTCAGCAGCAGGAATTTTTATGAAGCTGATTAATAGAACCAAAAAGCCATCTTAGCAGTAGACATGTAAAATTATTACTTTTCCCCTCCTTTTCAACCAGTCTTCTGTGTTAGCTTAGCATAGTGCTGTAAAGGACCAAACACCACCCAACTGGACCTAGAGAATTGCTGAAGGCTGACAAAGTAAGTTCAGCATCAACTATAGATTCCTTTATGAGATTGGTTTTTCCAAAGCAACTTACTAACATACTTCATAAGCAGCAACTGAGGGTGTCAATATGAACTACCAGTATCATGTGAAGTTACTTGGCAGGAATTCCTCCATTGTGAAGGTTCAATAACATACTTCATGCCCCCACTGCTCCATGTAGGCATCAAGTTTTCATTGAGGACAGATTAACACAATCAAAGAGAAATTATTAATCTGTACTTAAACAAATACACACTATACTAGAACAGAAGAAAATATTGTTTCATTGGCTTGTATATTTAGCTGCTTTGAGATTTTAAGGGCAAACTAACCTTTGAAATCATGCAGAAAAAGAATAATCAAAATCCCTTAAACATCTTGAGCATTGTGACCAATTAGCAGAACATTTATTAAAAGTATTCAGGTGCAGGAGTGTGA